AAAAGGATGATCACAAGAAGAGAATAAAAATGAAGTCGCTGATGTCAGCCCTCAAGAAAGCTAAATGAAGCAGAGAGTTTGCAGAAAAAGGGTTCTTATGCCTGCTTGCCTGGTAACTGCTTTATCATAGATTAATGATAAGTAAAACCAAAAGGACTTTACAAAATCATGTAGCTATGGATTATATACTACTAAAAAATAAAATAGGGTGTTGGGAGGTGTTACAAATATGCTGCTCTAGGCTGGCGCCACAGCTCACTAGGCTAATCCTCCGCCTTGCTGCGCCGGCACACGGGTTCTAGTCCCGGTCGGGGCGCCGGATTCTGTCCTGGTTGCCCTTCTTCCAGGCCAGCTCTCTGCTGTGGCCGGGGAGTGCAGTGGAGGATGGCCCAAGTGCTTGGACCCTGTACCCGCATGGGAGACCAGGAGAAGCACCTGGCTCCCACCATCGGATCAGCGCGGTGTGCCGGCCGCAGCGGCCATTGGAGGGTGAACCAACGGCAAAGGAAGACCTTTCTCTCTGTCTCTCTCACTGTCCACTCTGCCTGTCAACAAACAAACAACAACAACAACAAAATGCTGCTCTAATTTAACAGACAACTCAAACTTAATTTCAAGTGAGATTGTTCAAATACACAGAAAAGTTAACAAAATTCATATTTCAACTTTCAAGTGATTTAGAGACCGGCACTGACTATCATGGTGGTGGCCTTTTTTAGGACCTATATATATATATAGTAGTATATATAGTTTATACTATATATATATATACACACACACACACGCACACTACTTATCTTACTATTCTTTGGACCCTGTATCCAAATAATTATTATTTGTATTTGTATCCCTATACAAACTGTTATTTGTATCTCTGTATCCTAGGTTGCTTTGTACGGCTGCTTTCTTACAGAGTTGCCCACCTATGGCTGATGCTGCTGACACACTCAAGGCCTATTGCCATGGACCCTTTGATGTTTCCCACCAATGGAGTCCCTGGCTGCCAGTTCCCCATGATAACCGTGTTCAGCAGGAATCAGCCAAAACTTCTTCATAACAGAAGTTGGGGATGGCTGTCGGCGGGGGGGGTTGGGGAGATGGGGGGATGTCAGGGCCTCACCAGCAGCGTAAAGGGCTTCATCACTTAGGAACCACCAGCTCTGGCGCCACAGTTGGCGCAAATGGCCAGGTGGCCCGTTGATGGTGACCATATGTCCATGACCAGTTTCAGGAGTATGGTCAAGATAAACTACTCCTGACATGTCCTAAGATAAATTCTTTCTTGAATCTGTGAAAAATCCTTTGATGTTTTACATATATAAGGCCCCACTAGTATATTGTAGCAGAACTCTTTCTGTTGTGGCTAGCGGGAGTTTCTGCCCCTCTGTTCTCTCAGTAAACTTTGGTAATATCACCCCTTCTCTTTCGTTTGTTGCCCTTATACTTTGTCGTGAATAGAACAGGATTCAGGGGGTCAGATCAGATGCAGCAATTTTTCTGTTTTATCTGTTCTGCTATTATTGCCTTCTATTGTGTGTTTTAATTTCACTAAATGTACTTTTCAGCTGAAAGTTCTGCTTGATTTTGTTTAATGACTTTGATCTATCACATCTCTATCTTAGCATATTGAATCATTTCTCTGTGTTCTCTTGAATTTTGTTGATTTTCTATAAAACAAGCTATTTTGAAATCTTCATTTGAGGATTTGGAAATTTTGGTTCCTATGTAGTCAGTTCTGTCTTTATATTTTGTTCCTTAGGTGAAGTCATGGTTCTCTGGAAGTTCTTGGTGTTTGTTGGTATACAGTATCATTTCCACATTGAAGGAGTAGTGTAGTAATTTGGCTTTGTGGCGATCTTTCTAGAAATTCTCAGTTGTCTTTTTTTTTTTTTTTTCCTCTAGGCCTATAGGTACTTCACTGAAGCTGTTTCAGTAGTAGATAGCACTCTAAGTTGTGGTTTGCCCCAGGTCTGTTTTTTTTTTTTTAACTTACTGCATCTTACAGTATCCCCCAAATCTGCGGTTGATATGTTAGTAACTATAACACTGGGATAGTACCTAAAAAATGGCAGTTTGTTGGACAAGCCTCTTGTGGTAGGCTCAGATTCTTTGTCCTGTGTTGATTGCTGCCACATCAGGAACCCTGAGCCTACCAAGACCAGTGCTGCCTTGGAGTAAGTCCGAAGTTCTCCCTGCCACTGGGCTCACTGCCCAGTGCTGTACCCGTCAGCCACTGGTGGTGTCGGCTGGCAGGTAAGACTGCTCAGCCAGGACCATGGAACTTACTGTGCACTGAAGCAGGTCCGGAAGCTTTGTCTGCAGGCACTGGTCTGGGTCAGAGACCATTAGAACCTTCTTAATGCTCTGTTTTATTAGCCTGGTGCCGAGTGCCAAAACTGTCCTTGTCTGTCCTAAGTTGTAGGAGGGCTGATAAAGGTAGCCCCTCAGCTACTCAGGCAGCCTCTAGGTGGGTAGCAGCTGGGTCTCATAGTCACCAGGCCCTGTGTAACCTCAGGGGTGCGCCCCAGGCCTGCAGGAGGCTGTAGGTGACACATGCCTCAGAGGTCTGTCTCAGCAGGGTGCAGGTCTCTCCCTGATCCTGGGGCAAGTCTAGAGACTGTCCATAGGCCCTTGCCTCTGGGCGGACACTGCTAGGATCTGCCCAGTGTTTGGCTTTATCAGCTTAGCACTGAGCCCCCAAGCACAGTCCCGTGGCCCCTTGCTTTCTGCCCAGGTTTGGGAAGAGTTTAAAGATGGCCCCATGGCCACCCAGACTAGCCATAGTCTGGTCACACATAGGTCTCATAATCATGGGTCCCTATGAAGTCTTCTGGGGGGTGTCCACCCAGTCACCTGAGGCTGGCAGTGATACTTGCCAAAATGAGTCTGACCCCCTTGGAGCAGAGGTCCTGTCTGATGGGCTTTAGCTATGCAGTAGACCCAATTGTGAGCTCCAAGACGGGTCCTAAACTCCCTCTCCTTTCTCTGGAGCCTGGGGGTGGGGTGAGTAAGGCCCCCTGGTTGTGGAGGTTCCAAACTTCACTCCCAGGATGTGAGCCTGGGGGCAGGGGTCAGTGGGCTCGGCTTGACCAGGTTTTTTGCAGGGAGCCAAGCCTTGAGCATCAGTCTGTTCTCCCTCTCCCACGTGGGAGGCATCTGCCCAAGCCGAGCTTCTTGAAGTTGGGGCAGGTGTGATGTGGCCAGTGTTTTTCTTCTTGCTTTCTTCAGTGTGACTTTAGTTAGGAGCATAACGAGATGAGGTACCGTGTTCCACTCTTGCGTCTGTAGTCTTGTGACCAGGACTTGGTGTGTGTGTAGTTGTTCACTTCAGTGTTTCTGCTCGTGGCTGCCCAGTGGAACCTCTTACTCAGCTGCTTTCTTGGTTCTGCTACCTTGATTATTTATTTACCAGGGAGACAGAGAGGGAGAGTGTTACATCTGCTATTTCGCTTCCCAGTTGCCAGAGCCAGGAGTGAAGAACTCAATATTCAATCTGGGCTTCCCACATGTGTGGGGAGCAACTCGGACTAGACTAAGTTACTGGAATTAAGACTTATTCTATGCATCTGCTCTCCCACAATATGGCGCTGAGAAGGGAGAAACAGCTTCTACTCAGCTGCCTCCAGTTCAACCAATAAACAGCAGGACCTGCTCCTGATTGGAGGAGAGCAGCGTACTCGGCGTGTGGGTAGCAGAGTTGGGATTGGCGGAAGAGGACTATAAAGGAGGAGAGAGACAACATGCACCAGGAACATCTAAGGGGAACATCTATCTGAAGGAACACCTGTGCAGCCCCCGAGAGAGCCGGCCGGCGGTGTGCCGCTCCCCTGCGAAAGTGGGGAAAGTGGCAGGGGGAACCGCCCTTCCATGGAGGTGGAAGGGACGGCAGCCAACCCGGGAAGAACCAGCAGCAAACCCGGGGAGGGCCGAGCAGACAAAAGAACAGCGCAGGGTCCTGTGTCGTTCCTCCACGAAGACGGGGAGTGACATAATGGTGCCGTGACTCGGATATGAAGCCTAGGCAGGGCTTAGTGTCGTTCCTCCACGAAGAGGGGGAGCGACAACATGGGTGGCAGGGACCCAGTTATTTTAGTCACCATCTCTTGCCTCCCAGCATGCACATTAACAGGAAACTGAAATTGGGAATGGAGCTGGTACTCAAACCCAGGCACTCAGATACAGGATGTGGGCATTCCAAGCTCTGTCTTAACCATTGTGCCAAATACCCACCCTGTAAAGACTATTTTATAAAGTCTGTCTTTCATATCTGTTACCTTCACTTTTATGTAGAGATTACATTTGTAACTTGTTATGCAACTCTGAGTTCATTTTACAGTATTGGTATGAAGACATTTGTATTGTTATCCTCTTAGAAAGTTCTAAGAGTTGTACATGTTGTCTTTCATTGATTTTTTTTCTCTTCCTTTTCTCAGTCTAGCTTTATTAGTGACTACTGGGAAAATTGTTGTCTTCAACCTTGGCTATAATTTTTTTAGTCTTTTTAATGTGGTAAAACATATTTTCTCCACAGATGTTTATAATGGATTAGATGTAGACTTGATTATTATTATTGTTATTAATTTTATTAGCCAAACCACTTTAATACAAGAAAAAGTAAAATAAGAAGTCATGTTTCAGTCATCAGCAAATAAAAAATGTTTTCTTATCTCTGGTCACGGTTGATATTGATGTTGATCCTTGAGGCCAAGAATCTTGTTGTGTGATTCCTAAAGTTCTGTGTGGAATGTGACATTTCTGACCATGCTGTATCTTTCAGTCCGCATGACCACATGTTCCTGGGGATTGTCTTGATGCCTTTTGTTCCAAGTGCCAAGGAGAAGTGTCTGTAGTAAAGATTTCCCTTACATCATTATGTTTTGTGTAGAGCTGCATGTATTGATTGATAACACATTTGTTTTAGAAACAAACTGGAAGAAATATCCTGAAAGCAATATTTAAAGCCCATTCTTATATATTTATAACTTTTCTTTTTTTAATAGCATGTTCCACACTATTCAAGACAGCACTTATTGGTGTCCCGTGGTCTCGGTTCAGTGGGATATGATCCTAGTGAAAAAGTGAGTATTTACAAAAAATGTTCTCAATCGCTAAGTTATAGTGGTTTTGCATTTCTGTCTCCACACTGTATTCAGTGTACAGATTAAACTTTGTTGATACTGTGAAATTATCATTGCTCTGGTAGTTATAGTATGTGCTCAGTCTTTGTTCCTTTTTTATGTGGGCCATAGACTGAAGTCTTTTTAATTTTGTGTTTGTTTTTGTACCCAAAGTTGAATACATTTGCAATGTATTTCTCTTGTTGTCAGCAAATTAATAAAACAGTCTTTCTTAAGGACTAAGTAGTTGAGAGATTTTGATTAAGCTCTTGAGGTGTTTTTTTTGTTTGTTTGTTTGTTTGTTTTGATAGGCAGAGTAGACAGTGAGAGAGAGAGAGACAGAGAGAAAGGTCGTCCTTTGCTGTTGGTTTACTCTCCAATGGCCGCCACGGCCGGTGCGCTGCGGCCGGCGCACAGCACTGATCCGCACAGCACTGATCCGAAGCCAGGAGCCAGGTGCTTCTCCTGGTCTCCCATGGGGTGCAGGGCCCAAGCACCTGGGCCATCCTCCACTGCACTCCCTGGCCACAACGGAGAGCTGGCCTGGAAGAGGGGCAACCGGGACAGAATCCAGACTAGAATCCTGTGTGCCAGTGCCGCAGGCGGAGGATTAGCCTAGTGAGCCGCAACGCTGGCTAAACTCTTGAGTTTTTGTTTCATTTATTTAATATTTATATGATTCTTTTGGATTGAAGACATTATGCATATTGTAAATTTGGGGGCAAGGAATTTCTAATTAAGATTGCAATATATCTTAATGTTGAGTCTTCTAAGGGACATGACAAATGGGCTAAAAGTAGTGATTAGAAAGGAAAAACATGTTTACTGTTGAATGTAAGCATCAAAGAGGGCAGGAGGCTGGGCCTCTTCTAGGAAAACAGATTTATTTAAAGAGCTAGTGCACACTCCATTGTGAGCACATGCAGTCTGTCTTCACTGGGAAGGAAGAGCTGCCACCACCCATGCTGGGGTCCTCCTTTTGTAGGGTAGGAGGTGGTATTCAGGGCAGGGCCTAATCGAATATTCAAATAGGATAGAGTTGGGTGTGGGACTTGAGATTTGGGAATCTTGAAGTGTCACGGATGTCTCCTGTGTAATGTTAATTGAGGCACAGGTGCATGATGGGGAATGGGTGTGCTGATCCACAGGCGTGTTGGATTTGTTGTGCACAGCTCAGGCACGCCCTCAGCTCCTCTCTGCATGTTAGCTACCTACCTGCCCACATCATTTTGACTTGATTGGTCAAGGCAAATATTATGAGTGATTGAGAATGACTTAGTTGAGATACCTTCTAAGTCACCTGCTGAAGAACGCAAAACTACCTGTCAGGATTTTTAAAGATTTATTTATTTGAAAGGTAGAGTGACAGAGAGGCAGAGGCAGAGAGAGAGAGAGAGATCTTCCATCCACTGGTTCACTCCCAAGATGGCTGCAATGGCCAGAGCTGAGCTGATCTGAAGCCAGGAGCCAGGAGATTCTTCCAGGTCTCCCATGTGGATGCAGGGGCCCAAGCACTTGGGCCATCCTCCACTGCTTTCCCAGACCACAGCAGAGAGCTGGATCAGAAGCGGAGCAGCTGGGGCTTGAACTGGTGCTCATGAGGGGTGCTGCCATTGCAGGCAGTAACCTTACCTGCTCTGTCATGGCACCGGACCTCTGTCAGGTTTTTTTTTTTTTTTTTTAAGATTTATTTATTTGAAAGTCAGTTAAACATAGAGAAGAGAGGTAGAGAGGTAGAGAGAGGGACAGAGAGAGAGAGAGAGAAAGAGAAAGAGAAAGGTCTTTCATCCACTGGTTCACTCCCCAGTTGATCGCAATGGCTGGAACTGTCACAATCCGAAGCCAGGAGCTTCTTCCGGGTCCCCCATACAGGTGCAGGGTCCCAAGGACTTGGGCCATCTTCCACTGTTTTCCCAGGCCATAGCAGAGAGCTGGATAGGAAGGGGAGCAGCTGGGATTCGAACTGGCACACATATGGGATACCAGCACTGCAGGTGGTAGCTTAACCTGCTACGCCACAGCATCTGTCAGGTTTTTTTTTAAATCTGGAGGTTTGGAGGAAGAAAGAATCCACATCCATGCCAGACCGTAGCGTTGCAGTGGGAGAGACAATTGTAGGGCAAAGGTGACTTTACATCTTCTAGTAGCCATACTTAAAAAAAAGTAAAAAGAAACAGGTGAAGTTGCTTTTAATACATTTTATTTAATTCAATATAAAATTATTCTTTCAGTTATATAATCAATATAAATAATGAAACACTTTAGATTTTTTTTTTTTTTGGTACCACACCATCTCAATACACTGTGTGTTTTATGCCTGGGAATAACTCAGTCTTATTAGTCATATCTGAAGTAGCCTCATGTTTCCAGTGGCTGCTATATTGAACAGTGCAGGTCGAGATGTATTACCTGGAATAAACTCTTAGTTACAAAATCTGTGGTTTAATTTAATAATTTCACAATAGGCAGTATGCTTAGGGTTCATGTGTATGTTTGGTTTTGCATGCTTGTATTGAGTTCCAATCTAGAAGTAATCAGCTTTCCTAATTAGGAATACTCTAGGGGTGGTTAGATAATATTTAAAGAGGCCACATTCCAGAGAGCATGGGCGTCCTACAAGTAGTTCAGCCATTTTTTTCTTCCAAGAAACACTGTTAGTCTTTCTCATTAGCATAATAGGTTTCAGAAAAGGTTTTCATTGACAACATTAGTGATAGTCAAGATATGTGTATTGCCTGTTATCTTCGAGAACTCAGCCCTTGTGTTAACACACTAGTATAACAATCAATGTTTGACCTTAGTTTTTTTTTTCCTTTTTAAGATTCATATATTTATTTGAAAGGCAGAGTTAACAGAGGGGGGGGGTCCTCCATCCCTCCATCCACTGCAATCATCCCCAAATGACTGCAGCGGCTGGAGCGGGGCATATCTGAAGCCAGGAGCCCGGAGTTTTTTCCAGGCCTCCCCCACGGCTGCAGGAGCCAACGCACTTAATCCATCCTTTGCTGCTTTCCCAGGCACATTAGCAGGGAGCTGGATTAGAAGAGGAGCAACTGGGACAGGAACTGGTGCCCATATGGGCTGCTGCTTCTGCAGGCGGAGGTTTGCCCTACTACACCCGCAGCGCTGGGCCCTGACCTTTAGTTCTTTGCCTTTAAGGTTAATCCTCAGGCTTGATCCCTAAACAAAATAGCCCTTTCTTAAACCACGGTGTTGGCTGGATTCTTGAATCTGGCACTTTGGTTAGGCAATCAGAATGTCAACACCTTTGCCTCAGGGGAGCTTTGCTTCAGGCTTTTGGAGCATTACCAAGTACAGGAAGCAAATCTCCTGGCACGCGTCCAGCAGGTTTTAAGAGTCATCTTATGTCTGTTAAGAAATATTTGTGTGGCAGAGTTTGGTAGCCACACAAATTGGTGGCTACTGATTATTACTGAAAATAAACAAAATAAATACAACGATCTTGATTTAGGACATTTAAAGAGATAAGAGAGGTAAGGGGGTTACAAGTGGACTTCCTTTGACATCTAGTAAGCAGGTACATCTGCATATCCTGTCTGGAATCAGATCTGCTCCTTGTTGTCTTTGCCATCTCTTTTGCTGTGTGCTTGCCAAAGGTAGCTATGGAAAACCTGTATGACCTCCTTTGTCAATTATGGGTGTGTTTTGACATTAACTGGGTCTTAAAGGTAAATTTTATTTTTTTTTGTTATCTTTCTTTTTTTTTTAATTTTGTATATCTTTTTTAAAGAAAGCTTTTATTTAATAAATATAAATTTTGAAAGTACAACTTCTCAGCCGGCGCCATGGCTCACTAGGCTAATCCTCTGCCTGCAGCGCCGGCACACTGGGTTCTAGTCCCGGTCGGGGCGCTGGATTCTGTCCCAGTTGCCCCTCTTCCAGGCCAGCTCTCTGCTGTGGCCCGGGAGTGCAGTGGAGGATGGCCCAAGTGCTTGGGCCCTACACCCCACGGGAGACCAGGATAAGTACCTGGCTCCTGCCATGGGATCAGTGAGGTGCGCCGGCCATGGCGGCCATTGGAGGGTGAACCAACGGCAAAGGAAGACCTTTCTCTCTGTCTCTCTCTCTCACTGTCCACTCTGCCTGTCCAAAAAACAAAACAAAACAAAACAAAACAATGAAAGTACAACTTCTGGATTATAGTGGTTTTTCCCCCCATCACCACCCTCTCACCCACAAAGCATCTCGGCTCCTACTCTCTCTCCCATCCCATTCTTCATCAAGATTCTTTTTAATTATCTTTATATATAGAGGATCAACTTAGTATTTACTAAATAAAGATTTCAACAGATTGCACCCACACAGACACACAAAGTATAGAGTATCGTTTGAGTAGTTTTACCGTTCATTTATATAGTACAACACATTAAGGACAGAGATGTTACTTGGGGAGTAGGTGCACAGTGACTCCCATTGTTGACTTAACAATTGACACTCTTATTTATGATGTCAGTGATCACCCAAGGCTCTTGCCATGAGCTGCCAAGGCTATGGAAGCCTCCTGAGTTCACCAACTCCGACCTTATTTAGACAAGGCCATAGTCAAAGTAGAAGTTCTCTCCTTCCTCAGAGAAAGGTAAAAGGTGCAAGTTTAGACCAAGGTGTTGGCTTTAGTCTTCACTTCAGGGCTGCGTTTCATTCAACCTTTATTCTTCCAGAAATTCCTGCTACTCTTGTTTGTTAAATACTGAACTTTTAAAGTCCGCAGTGCAGATAGACCTGGTCTTGGTAGTATATATTTGTTAAATAAATTGAGTTACAGAGAGAAGGAGAGACAGAGAAATATCAATATTCTACCTGCTGGGTCACTCCCCAGTGACTGCAACAGTTGGTGCTGGGCCAGGCCGAAACCAGGTGCCTGGAATTCCATCTAGGACTCCCATGTGGATGCCAGGGGCCCAGCCAATTGATCCATCTTCCACTTCTCTCCCAGGTGCATT